TTCAGAGCTGGAAGGGACCTCCAGAGCTCACCCAGTCCCACCCCCCTGCTAAAGCAGGACTGCCCAGAGCACATCGCTCAGGACTGCATCCAGGCGGGTCTTGAAAACCTCCGGAGAAGGGACTCCCCCACCCCCTGGGCAGCCTGTGCCAGCGCTCTGTCACCCCAACCGTAAAGAAGTTCTTCCCTCTGTTGGAACGGAACTTCCTCGGCTCCAACTTGTGCCCACTGCCCCTCGTCCTGTCACTGGGAACCACCGAGAAGAGTCTGGCTCCATCCTCCTCCAACCCCCCCTTTAGATACGTGTATGCCATAATAAGGTCTCCCCTCAGCCTTCTCCTCTCCAGGCTAAAGAGTCCCAGCGCTCTCAGCCTCTCCTCATACGGGAGATGCTCCAATCCCTCAGTCATCTTGGTTGCCCTTCGCTGGACTCTCTCCAGCAGTTTCCTGTCCCTCTTGAACTGGGGAGCCCAAAACCAGACACAGTATTCCAGTTGTGGCCTCACCAGTGCCGAGTAGAGGGGGAGAATGACCTCCCTCCGCCTACTGGAGAAAGAGGGAGAAAAAAAAAGAAATAATAATAATCCTCATGTGTTGAGATAAAGACAGTTTGGTAGAAGAGCAATGAGGAGAAAATAATAATAGCGGCCAAACGCTATACAAGATATACAAGTTGGTCGCCGCCCCACCATCGACTGCCGGTGGGTTCCTGCCCCACAGCCCACCCCGCTTTGTACGCCGCCGATGGGATGGAATACTCCTTCGGCCGCCTCATCCCCTCTGTGCTCCCGCTCAGCTTCTACGGGAAGGCGGGATCCCTTATCTCAAATCTTTGAGCCCCGCGTCGGGCGCCAAAAAGGGGCTGTTGTGGTTGAGCCCCAGCGGGCAACGACCTTCCAGACCTCCGCTCGCTCCTCCCCGGTGGGGTGATGAGGAGAAGCGGGAAAAACTCCTGGTTTGGGATAAGGGCGGTTTAGTAGAGCCGCTACAGGAAGGTGTGGGGGTGCAGCGATGGCAGGAGCGGAGCAGGTCGTGGGGCGCTGGTTGGGGGTCTGGCGTGACCTCGGAGCGGGGCTCCAGCCCTGCGGTTTTGGGGGCTTGAGAAGAGGCGCAGCAGCTGGGTTTCGGGGCGCTGAGGGAGCTGATGTGGGGACCGAGAGCAGAAGGTGGCTGAGCTGGTTTTGCCGAGGGGTGGGCAGGGAGCGGGAGGACCCTCCCCCGAGGTGGGGGTCTGGTCCCGTCACACCTCGAGGTTTCACAGCATCTCAGAGTGGTCAGGGTTGGAAGGGACCTCTGGAGATCATCCAGTCCAACCCCCACCAGAGCAGGGGCACCTACAGCAGTGGCACAGGACGGCGTCCAGGCGGGTTTGGGATGGCT